CAACTAACTCATTTACGCAAACTTTCCAAGGTACGCCGAGGTTGTTAAAGATTTATGCACTTGGCTTAAAGGTTGAATGAAGGTAACATGAGGTTGCAACAATTTTACGCTCATTCTCTTACGCGAGATATGAAAGTTGAGTAACTGTAAGGTTGCCACTTGCACTCTGGTAGCAGGATCTGTTTTCTTTGTTGTTTTTAGCATGACCGAAGTAGTTTTCACGCCGCTAACGATGAGAATCGTTGGCTTGTTGTTTTTGGAGATCTTGTAATTCTGTTCGGGTGACTGGAAGGCATTGTTAACATAAATGGCCCGTCACTTACTCTTGAAAAATAATACAGTGTCTTTGTCACAACGAGTTAAACGAAAACAAATTCAGAGAGAACATGCGTGATAACTGTTTCCTCACTTACGATGAACGGCAGACGGCATTCTCGAAAAACTATGGCTACTTAATTTCAACGGAGTATTGACCAACTTTCTACAAATACTAAATTGTTTTTTGAACTGCCTTTATCGCTTCCCGGGTATCGCCTCTGTCAGCACAGGTAGCCCAAGCTCACTATGAGAGCCGTGAACAACATTATCCTACTTAGCTAATTAATTATTCATACAGCAAGAAAATTATAAGACGTTGTATGGAGAAATATTCTTTGCTCACTAAATTAGCAAAATGTACATTGAATATCGCTTTGAAGCTTACCTTTAGCATCTCCTTGTTTTTCTTTGTATTCTGACTGCATTTCAGACCTCCTAGGCACTGTTTAAGGCCTTTTTTGGAGCGACAGTTTTTCACCCAGATGACAGTAGAGAGAAGAGAAGAGAAGGTTGGCAAACCTCTCTTGACCGGCCCCGCTCTCGGCGGCGATAAATTCCGTGACATTTACGACATGGAGACAATTCCGCCAGAAACAGATGTCCTGATAAATAACGCACATTTTCCATCATTCACATCGCCAAAATTCCCATTTCGAAGGTCCTGAATCGCCAACGAAGTGGGCAATACACGGCTGAGGTGAGGCGAGTCGAGAGCAGACCCGCAACGGACTCCAACCGTCACGTCGACAATTCAAACCAACGCGGGCTGGCAGGGTCAAATTGTTCAACCGTCAAAAGACAATTGGAGCATTTAGCCTACTGGGCACAGTAACTGATTTTTCACTTCTCACCGTTGCACTCCGGGGTCGCGGAAGTCAAGCATCGCGTGTGATAGTGACATGTAATATCAAAACATGTCGCGTTGTTAATGTTTTGATCTCTACTCTTCTTTTTAAAAAGCATTTGACAATGGTTTTTTATGTATGATTTAGGAAAAAGTTTTGCAATAAGAACTACTACGGCTGTAAACAGTTGTTAGCTATTTTTCCTCCCTTTTTCAACAAGTGGCACTAAGTAGCAAGTTTGGGGACAGGATCTTCCGGCAGGTGCTCTTATCTATTGTGAGTGTTTTTACGGAAAGGAAATATGTAAATAAATATTTCTTTGAATTTTCTCTTGGTAATTCTGCCACATTAGCTACACCAATTTCAAGATCAAATTATACATCAGCTGCTTACAGCCCAAGCAAACTATTTCTGAAATGTGAATTCCAAATGTAGTAGCTATTTTTGTATTGATTGGATTTCTTGACGCTACTATTAATCATGGCAGAAAGGTAGGATGAAGTTTTGTAATCAAAAGATTGCATTGTTTCTCGTTGAACATGCACTTACAAAGTAGTTCATTTTGCAAAACAACTTTCATTTCAGTCTAACAAATGAACAAAGGGCTGTGTTGAACTGCACCTCATTGGGTCATAATCTATTAGTTAGTGGACAAGACGGAACAGGAAAAGAAATGAAGTGAAGCTGAAGTGTAGAAGTGAAGCTGCCCTCGTGAATTTCAAAATTACGACAGACCCTAACAAGAAAAATATTATGCAGTCAACTTCAAGAATTGAAGATAGGTCAAGGCCAATCCAGGGTATTATTTTTTTCTAAATCATACATAAAAAACCATTGTCAAACGCTTTTTAAAAAGAAGAGTAGAGATCAAAACATTAACAACGCGACATGTTTTGATATTACATGTCACTATCACACGCGATGCTTGACTTCCGCGACCGCGGAGTGCAACGGTGAGAAGTGAAAAATCAGTTACTGTGCCCAGTAGGCTAAATGCTCCAATTGTCTTTTGACGGTTGAACAATTTGACCCTCTCAGCCCGCGTCGGTTTGAATTGTCGACGTGACGGTTGGAGTCCGTTGCGGGTCTGCTCTCGACTCGCCTCACCTCAGCAGTGTATTGCCCACTTCGTTGGCGATTCAGGACCTTCGAAATGGGAATTTTGGCGATGTGAATGATGGAAAATGTGCGTTATTTATCAGGACATCTGTTTCTGGCGGAATTGTCTCCATGTCGCAAATGTCACGGAATTTATCGCCGCCGAGAGCGGGGCCGGTCAAGAGAGGTTTGCCAACCTTCTCTTCTCTTCTCTCTACTGTCATCTGGGTGAAAAACTGTCGCTCCAAAAAAGGCCTTAAACAGTGCCTAGGAGGTCTGAAATGCAGTCAGAATACAAAGAAAAACAAGGAGACGCTAAAGGTAAGCTTCAAAGCGATATTCAATGTACATTTTGCTAATTTAGTGAGCAAAGAATATTTCTCCATACAACGTCTTATAATTTTCTTGCTGTATGAATAATTAATTAGCTAAGTCGGATAATGTTGTTCACGGCTCTCATAGTGAGCTTGGGCTACCTGTGCTGTCAGGAGAAGAAAAATGAAGAAGACCTGGGGGTTATACGTTCGAATGAGGCCTGGAAATGAAACAATACAGCAAAGCAACTGGTCAGCGGGTATTCGCTTTGCACATGCTCTTTCAGGTTCCGATTTGGCGTCCATTTTGAAAGTGTGAAATCGATCGTTTCGATCACGCCAACTTGTTTGATTTCCCTCAGAAGTTTGAGTCCATAATTATGCTTCTCGATAGCATCACAGGACATCTGAGGATTGTAAAAACATTATCATCGAACGTTCAACCTTCAGTTGTCGATAGATCTTAAGAGGCAACCCTTTCGATACAGGAGACTCAGTCAAGCAGACTGAGAATTTGAACACCGAAGTATACTAAGGACTGTACTACTAAAGCGCTCCAAGACTCAGGATTTTGCTGGAAAATTAGAAAGCAAGAAAAGGTAAGCTGCCCTGTTTTCAAACTATTTAAATCATTTTAAGTTTTCAATGAAATCAATGTTTTATAAAGGAGCTGTGGAACGAAATTTATCAACATTTAAACAGATGAAACCGCCACAATATTGACTGAAACATAAAAATAACTACTCACAACAGTTGAAGAAGGTATAAACAAGACAGCAAACGCAAAAGGAGGCTCAGATAGACAAACTTGAAGAAGATTAAAATGGATTACGTCACAGCAGCCATATTGGTGGTGTGTTAGGGTAAAGAACAAAAGCATTTCTCTCCTCCGGGAACTAAACCCTATTTTCATGTAAATTCTTCAAAAAAAAACATTCTATTGTAATGACCTCCAACACACCACCAATATGACCGCCTTGTCACGTGGTTCCAAGCCAGGAATAGAGGTTTTTGAAAACTTGTTGGCCTAAAGTTCATTCTTTTTGCCTGTAACTTTGATGAAAATGTAATGCTTCGGGACAAATTTGTTTACATGAAACAGTGATGTTGTTATTTTCAAGTAATATTTCGTCACTTACACTAGGTTCTACTGAGGAAAGCATAACTGAGTAAAATCTCGCATTCTGATTGGTTAACGAAGCAAGGTATTTAGTGTGGAATTGCGAGTTGAAAACGAGGCTAAGCAATATTGTTTCGCATCTACATGTAGGTAACAACTATCGTCAAATTCTAACACAACACAACTGCAAAAAAGGTTTTCTACAATGTCATTTTAAAATGTTTTCAAAACCATTGTCACCTTTTGAAGAGTTCAAAACAAACAAAAGCATTTTTATAGTGAGCCGGAGGTTCTTCCTTGTTTTGAACTGAACTACAAATTCTCGAAGAGGCATAAAAAACCTCTTTCGCTCGCGACAACGAGAAAAGAAGAAAATCTTGTGTAGACGGCCCAGAAAATGGCAAGCCAAAGTTCAACCAAACGAAACGGAGAAGTGACAACAGAGGAAGTGCTGGGGTCGATTGTCACATAAATTATACAGGAGAAGAAATAAATACCTTCAAAGACAACATGATGGCCCCTCAGTTAAAACACGAAAAAGAGTACGCCGCTTGCAATCGTCCTGAATCGTGATACTTAGAAAAGTACAAAACAGAACTGAACTTGAACAGCATTTCTAAAACATTTCAAGGCACTTACCATATATCAATCGCAACGTTAAACTTTAAGTGCTTTTGCTTGGACACTTCATTTCTTTCAGTTTTGCCCGCCGATGAGGTAAAAGGTGTATATTATTTTCCTTCTGGAGCAAATGACCAATTTGAAAAAAGATGTTATAGATAAACGGCTTGTAAATTCTATTTATCCTTAAGATTAGTGTGAAGCTTGTTTACATGTAAAAGAGTTTGAAAACAAATGTGAAAACAAGCACAAGGTACAAAAAAAGTTGTCGAAGGTCAAACGTGTATGACTGACCTTGCTTCCTATTCGCTAACGCAAAGACAGTTCTTACAGTTGACTTTGAAATGGCTTCCTGGAGCGCGCGCTCAGGATAAAAACAAACAATATTATTGCCGTTTTCTTTTTTTTTCTGATTTTTATTCAGTTATGTGATTCAAGGAAAATCCATTACCTTACGAGGGAATTCCACGCTAAATTGCACTTGAAAACTGATATCACACTCATCGCTGCGCGATTCGTACAATATCGGTTTTCGCGTGCAATTTAACGTGGAATTCCCTCGTCAGGTAATGAATTTTCCTATAGAATAAGGACTTGTAATTAGCATTATGTACAACTAAAATTTTGCTTGTGCAACCAAGATGGTGTCTTAGTGGGACATATGTCCTTTTAAGAGAAAAAAAAATGTTCACAGCTCTGTACAGTGTTTTCAAGAAAATTAGGACAAAGACAGTATACACAGTTTGTTCTTAGAAATCATACATTGCAAGCTCAACCTACAGATTAGTTAGTTATCTGCTGGCAGATAGACCTTTGTATGAAATTGTCCACCCGAACCTCATCCTCATTTCTTTGCGTTTGCTCAATAGAGCGTAATACGGGAAAGGTCTATTAGTGACTAATCTGTAGGTTGTGTGCACGGAGCGAGGTGGGGGAGGGAAGTTACTTCCATACATTCTCTTAAATGAAATAGAAATGATGTTCTCACAACTTGCAAAGCAATCATCAAGGGTCTTGCCAGCAGTTTTGTGTACTGATGTTGTGCATTGCATCATAAACCAAAGGTACGATGTAAACAGTTTTGAGAAGGAACAAAATCATGGTGGTTGAAGGCGGGATTGTTTCTCACTATTGCATTTCGTTTATTTTGGTAAATTGCAACTTTACTGATTTTATGTCGCTTTTCAGACGTATTGTATGTTGTGGTCTTTCTTTTTTCTCTTTGTAGAGTTTGGAATATGCAACATATAGTCTGTGAACAGGCTTTCTGTTTGGGGGAAGGCAAAAAAGTTGGGAGGAGAGGGAAGGGAAAGGGGCAGAGCCTTAAGACAAACCTTTGAGGCCGTGATTCCACCCTCTTGTCTATTAATTGCTGATCTTCTGTCAGCAAGATTGTCAATTAATGTAGTCAGTTTTGCGTGTAAAAAGGGGGTCAGGAGGCAACACTTGACTTTTACCTGGTGCCAAAATGCTGCTGCTGCTGACTGAGCAAAATTGTGGTTTTCCCTCCCATTTAACAGTGAGAGGTCATGACACGTATACTGATTGTCTGAGGTTATTGTTGTCATTGTTTCTGGTCAGTGTGATTTGCCCTCTGATGCAACAACATTTTATTTTAGCTCTTTTGAAATGTATTTTTGTGGCTAAATAAGCCTATCAGTGATGTGCCAGAAGATGCCATGTTAAAGATCAAAAGACCTGTCAGTGTTCTCGCCAATAGGAGCTTGCATCAGAATCTGATGCACAGTGGGTGCCGCAAAATAGCAGCCTCATAGGTTTCTCTACTGGCTCTTCCCCTTCCTCTCTCATGATTTTTTCAACTTTCCCCAAACAGAGAGCCTGTACTGTGCACAGGCTATGCAACATAATACATGTATTACAGCAACATAGAGCTGAAACAATCGCCGAAGAGTTAAGATATTGAGAAGTGTTTTGCTGCAAACCTAAGGAAAGTTAAGGCTGCTTTAATGTAAAGAGCTTTCGGCAATGGATGTAATTTGTTTATTGGGCTCATTTGAATTTTGACTTTCAATTAAGGTGTTTACTGATTCCAATAAACGAAGTGAAATAGAGTACTAAAGTGTGGCGTCATAAAAATGACATTTGTGAAATTATGGGATATGTCAGGATATTCTGAAAGAAGAATGTCCAAGACGCCTACTTGCCAAAAATGAGCATTTCGGGGCAAATTGTCTCTGAGATCGTAGCCCAGTTATGTTTAGAAAACTCCATACAAACCCTTCTAAATTTTTTTGCACCGACCCAAAAAAACATTAAAAGGGTTTGTATGGAGTTTTCCGATTATAACTGGCTAACATCTTAGAGACAATTTGCCCCGAAATGCTCATTTTTGGCAAGTAGGCCTCTTGGACATTGTTCTTTCAGAATATCCTGACAAATGCCATAAAATCAGAAATTTCATTTTTATGACGTCATCACTTTAGTACTCTATTAAATGTTATCACTGAATTGTGAATATGTACACAATGTAAGCTCATATTATAAAGCTCTCTTGAATAGATTTAATGCTGATAAATCTGGCACTTTCTCAAGTAATTGTTATCTCACCACTACTATTATAATAGTATTCTCTTCACCCGGAAAAATAAATGTATCTATAAAGTTGATCAATTCGATCGATAGTTCAGCACGCATTGTTGTTGGTTAAGAATTTACACAGTAATGCAGGTAGTGTTGCTTTGATTTTGCAAGGACAAATGCGATATGTGAGAAAAACAAAAAGGCATGAGATACATTTTTTTTAGTTATTGAATATTATTCTCTTTGCTGGTTCGCTTTTCACCTCTGAACTACCACACAAGGTGACTGCTTTGCAAGTTGCGAAAGTGTTTTTCAGTCCGTATAGTGTACGATCCCCACGAAAATTTATGGTTTGAATTTTAAATTCAACATTAGCTTTTAAACCGAACTCTTCTATTTGACCTTGCTCGCTGTGTATTTTCAACTCGCTTCATCAAATTACAGTTACATAGTAGAACAGTCACTATACAATTTTCAACTCAACGCTGTGAATAAAACTATACATACACTGGACAAATTTTCCTACATTGCTACTTTTTATAAGCTTGAATTCCTGAGCCAATACTTGGTGCATTTTTCTTCTTACCGAGTCACATTTCAAACTCGACCATGTATATTTTCAACAAAACTTTTGAATTTTTGTTTACACTACAGTGATCATTGATCAAGACCAGGAGCCCCCCATAGAAGCCTTTGTCGGAGTGGGTGGTTCTTTAGTCCATTGTGCTTTAAGCGCAAGTGTTTGCCTTTGCCTTCTCACATGTGTAGTGTTCATTTCTAGTGATCTGTAGTGAAATTTTTGATTGTTTGATTTGATGAGAATCTCTGATTCCGTGATCACAAAGACAGTGGCCATAAAAAACAGTCCAAAGACAGTTAAGCTCATTCAAAAGGTATTACTATTAAGGGAAGAAATACACACTCCAGTCAAAAGACTCATATTATCTTTGGAAAAACAATGAGCTAAAGTCTACTAAGTCGCAATGCAATTATCTATAGTTGATGCACCTCATTCTTATAATTTTGGATCTGTAAATCACTATCTGTGATAATTTAATATCCTGCAGAGAAAACTACCAAACGAGTTAGGCCCAGAATGATACAACATTGCAGAAAAACATTACATTAAAGGACTAGAGAAAATCGCTTAAAACATTCAAATCCAGAAGGCACTTTAGAGAAAATTAGAACCCTTATTCAGCCGTAATAAAAAGCTTTATGCTTTAAAAGAGGTCAAAGAAAATGCTCTTGCATCAGAGGACAAATCCTGCCGACCAGAAGCAAAAACCACAGTAAATCAATATGTGTTCCATGACCTCTCAGTGTGAAACAAGTGGCAAAAATCACATTTGTTCAGTGAAATTGTAGAACCTTCCAGAGCATAATCTACTCAGCAGGGGAAAAAAACTTATTGGAACGAGCAACATTTTGGTAGGAGGTAAAAGTTGTTTTAATAGGCCTACCAACCAACCCCTTTTATTGCTGTACGCTCGATAAACATGCTATGGCGGATCCCATGCCAGCCACGATAGAATCAGGTAAATCCCACTATTTGCATGAATCTGCCATAATCACCCAGCATGCAAAGAAAGTAGTGTCCGATAGCCCAGGGCTAGTGGATTTTGCTCTCAGACTAGTGAGTTCTGTTATTAACTTGCCTGATGGGCAAGTGAAGTTGCAAGGTCAAATAGAAGAGTTGAGTTTAAAAGCTAAGGGACGCGAGCATAAAAACGTTTTCTTCTAAAGGAAGAGTGTAAAATTTTGAATTCAGCTATAAAATTCAAGTACCGAGGTTAGAGATTTAAATGATGCATTTAAAATTGAAACCATGAATTTTGGCAGGGATCGTACGCCATAAGCCTGACTTTGTCTCTACCCCCTGGTGTGCACCAAGTATGATTTCTAAGAGGAATGTCAAACTGTGTTCCATGCAATTCTGTGTTTGTCCTTGTTTTCTTGAAAACAATGCATAATGAAACAACTATTAGAATTGGTTTTTGTGATATTTGGAATAATCAAGGTCTCAGTAAGTGTTATCAGCCTCAGCTTTCGGCTCAGCTGATGTCATTTAGTCAATCCTCTCCCTTGATTCTTTCTGGATATCACAAAACCTCATCCCACACCATTTATTGTTTAATGTTAACAAAGTGAACTAAGACTGTGGTGGCACAGCCCCTGTACATTAATTTGTAAATACTCAGTATCTTACATTTCAGTGGGTAATTAAGGCAGCAGTGACAGTTAAAAGTAATTAAGTGATGAGAACTTCATTGATTCCTGATTTTCCTTTCAGTACTAGGCAAACATCTTAGGAGCACTATGCAATATTGTGCAGGCTAGTGACACTGGGGTTGAGGGGTTTGTACCAGAAAATAGAAGAAAAGTCAATGTTACTGAGAATTTGTAATTACATGTAACAACAAGTGCTGAAAAGAAAATAGCATACCTTATTATTTATTTGATAAAGTGCTCAACCTCAAGTAACTGCCCACCTCCAATAACCCTCCACCTTATAGGCAGAAAAAAAATGAATTATCTCCTAACCTCGAATAAGTGCCTACCCCATACCAGCTAGATTGAAAAAGACTAAGTTCTACTAAATTAAGAGACCAAGTTTTCTTAGTACAGTATTTTAAAGAAATTTTCAATCAACAGTTAAAAATCTGCTTTGGAACTCAAACAAAATTACTCTATCTCCAACAAAATTACTTTTGGTGAAAACTTTGAGAATTCATTAAACACCCAGCCCAAATACACGTATTAAAGTGACCAACTTGAATAATAACCCACTCTCAAGGTGCAAAACTTTAGTGAGCACCCAGGCAAGGCACTTAATCAAATAAATATGGTATTTTGTTTTGGGACCTCTTCATTGGAGTGGTACATGCAGTCGCGTTTTCCAGTAGGTGTAGTGCTTGATTTATAAACACACAAGCTGTTTTATGAAAACTGCATTGACAAAATAGATTTGCAATTATTGAGAATCTATTTTATACCAATACAGCATTACATTTCATTTCACCCTTCATTAATTCGGCTTTGCTTTTTCAAAAACACTGTATCGCAGCTCCAGGTTTTGTCCAAATTACCTTTAGTTAAAATTTTTTGTGCATTTAAGATAGACAATATTATTTTGAACTACTGTGCAAATTAACCTTTTGAAAAAATAATGTATGAAATAGCTGTACGTATGATCTGAAGATAGTTTATCTACAGTGTATATGCAAACTGCTTTTAATAGAGCTTTTTACCGATACAGCAGCCATATTGAATTAATTCGATTTAAGGAGTATTATAGGATGCCCTGGGGGCATGAGCACATTTAGTTTGTATTTTGGAGTGCTTTTCAGGACATTTTTTCGTAAAGTTTTCTTAGAATAAGATTGTAATGGGAAAAAAGATTCTTGTGCCCTGTTTGGATGTAATAATGATCACCTTTTTCTAGTTTAGCATTAGAAATATGGTCTTTCACCGTATATTTCTCGGGAAAAAGGTGATCATGATTACATCCAAACACGGCACAAGGATCTTTTTTCCCATAAGAATCTTATTCTAAGAAAACTTTAAGAAAAAATGTCCCGAAAAGCACTCCAAAATACAAGTGAAATGTGTTCATGTCCCCTGGGCATCCTATAATACTCCTTAAATTGAATTAATTCAATATGGCCACCGTATTGGTAAAAAGGTCTATTAGTACCCTTATTTTATTCGGCTGTTGATAATAATAATGTTATTGAGGACAATCACCTGTCTTTTTCCTTCAATTCCCAATTTATTTTTGTGCATGCTTCACAGAAGGTATATCAATGCCAGAAATTTCAAACCCATTGAATTTATTGGGTGGCAACAAGCTACCTTAAACTTCAAGGACACTTTGGAGGATTCTTGCTGATCTCAGCAAGACTGTTCTTTGAAGTGCAGTGCCAACTCAATCCCAGAATTATTTATGCTTTTTCAGTTAAACCTCCAGGTCTTCAGAATAGTACCCAGTTGCTCCAAAACAAAAGGGGCAACTTTTACACCTTCATCTTCCACAAATTATTATTTATTTAGTAGTATCTTCATGCCAGATGAAGATACTAAGTCTTGTTGACTATATTTGTTGTTGATCTCTTGTTCGACGTCTACCCTTTTGTCACAAGGACATGCAATATCAGTGATGAGGCAATTTTTGTTCTGTTGGTCCACACACACGATGTCAAGGCGATTGTGATCCAGTTTCATTTCTGTTTATATATAGAAATCCGAAAGAAATTTGAAAGTCTTATTATCCTTAACATCACATTATTATTATCATTATTATTGTTGTGGTTGATGATGTTATTATAAGCATGGGTAGTAAAGAGGTTCATACACATGTACAAAAATAAACTACGTTAACCACTATTTTGGGCACTAATTTGTGGTTATTGCTCACTTTTTTCAATGACTGTGCTTTTCAGATTTTAGTAAAACAGATGAAGGTGCAAACAGATGGTTAAGGAGACCCTGCAGCAGCTAGATGCCAGCTCCTTGATTAATTCTTTCAAACCCCAGAGTTTAAGGAGATCCACCTACAAGCCAACCACCCTTTAGTTCACATGCATGGCCATTCTCGTTGAGTAGCAGTGGAGCTAGTTGTCACACCAGTACATCCTCCTCCACTGCAGCCTCCCTCCCCACATTCTCCTTTACTGTAAGGAGTGGCAGTGATGATGGACATAGGATGGAGAATGGATGGATTACTCTCAAGTTGTTGCCATTGTTTGATTAAATTTAATATCTTCACTTTGAATTCTGTTTTAATTTTTGCAAAACTTTTTTTTAGAAAAAATTGAAATGTTTTGAAATCACTCATTCTGAATATTTCAATCAACCTTGCAACTGTACCTTGTATATTTCTTTGAATGAATTGTCAACATGTTCGAACACTTTTTAGAGTTAGGTTTATCAACTGACACAACTTTGCACGTTTTCCTGTCAGGATTATCAAACTTTGTTCCTGTATTTGAACTTTAAAATAAATGATGTTACGCGATTTAAAACCTGTGTTTTTCCCTCTTGCGTTGGGCAATTAGTTAAAGTGAATAAGACTGGGGCGGTGATAAAAATGGTAGAATGGTCCGAACTGTTAAAAATCATTTTCAGTATAATACTGCAACCCCACAAATAAGTCCCTGAAATGCAATGAAGTGCAATGCTGACCAGGAAACATATCGTTAGGTATCAATGGAGTGAAAAGGCGGTATCAGTTTTTTCAATATCATGCATGAAAATTGAAAGTATCGTCGAATTTAGTACAATAAACGTGTTGCAATTTTCGCGTATCAGGGAGTTTTGCCACGATTTCAACATCGGTAATTTCATGAACCGTGGAATTCCAGTGGTGTTTGAGTCCCTGGTATTTCACGTACCATAGAATTTCGGGGAGTTGAAAACACTCGAAACTTCACGTATCGTGGAATTTCATCGCATTCTACGGAATAGAATCTTCACGTGTCGTGAACGTTTGGAGTATAAATTAGCATAACACAATCCGTAGCGTGGAATTTTAGTGAAAATGAAAGGCAAAAATTATAGCGTTCGTCAACGGCACTCCATGATTCTCGGCAAATCTAGAAAAATAAGGACGTTTACAGGTCTTGACACGCCGCGTTTCAACGACGTGTCCGGATATCGGATATTCTATGCCGCGGAAAAAGTTCGATTCAGGAAAAATACGGGTCGTGATACTGTACAGTACCGCAAATGATCCCCAACCGCAAATGATCCCGAGACCGCAAATGATCCCCAAAATGGACCGCAAATGATCCTCGACCGCAAGTGATCCCCAAAGTTGACCGCAAATGATCCCGTGAAAACTTGAGGAATGGAATGGATTTTATGGGACTGATTACAAAAAAGGACTGATTATAAAAAAGGAACCTTTTTCTCGCGCCTTCTAAAGAAAAAAGGAAGGAGGACGCTTCGTCTCAGGTCAATTTATACAAGGCAAAAAAAAAGTAGAATAAATCTGAAAAGGATATGGTATCAGCCGTATACTTCTTCCATTGTCAATTGCTTCAATTTTCTTTAAAGAACTGTTTCGTCGCTGAAAATTTTAGACAGGCAGGACGTTACGCAGAAAAAACTCTATTATTTTAACGCCCAAGCTCAACTTGTCTACTGAGGAATACAAAGCCTGGCACCCTCTACATAACAAGAGCTTTATTGACTTTACTGATCTTTTTAGAAGTATCCACTTAATTTTCAGAATATTTAGTTTTGATTTTTCTCTGAGGTGTTAATTTTACGTGATAAACAGCAAGACATTGGTTCGTAACTTAGGAGTGTCCCAGGCCTGGGAGTGTCCGTTACGAAACAAGACATGATTTGAAATAAACACACGTCAAAATGCTCCCGAACTTATCAATGTTCACAGGTTTCGGTTTATTTTGAAAGAGCAACTTGCTTACAGCTCATGAACATGTTGCGAATAGTTATATTGACGCTTATATGTATATCCATTTGTTGTGTCTTTGCTGGAGACAGTTACCAAGAATCTAAACCTGGTTATGAGAAACGCAAAAGCGAGGCAAGCGGTAGTTATCGAGTGACAAAACATCGTAGGAACCGTCACATTCACGGACTAAAAAAAAGTCGCTTATAATTATTCGGATCCATGAGGCACTTTAAAGAAAATTAAACAACCTAAAACCCTTATTTAGTCGCAATGAAAAGCATTGCATTTGAAAAGAGGTCAAAGGAAATGCTCTTGCATTAAAGGACAAATCATGCCGACCAGAAACAACAATAACTGCCGAAAATGCGTGTCATGGCCTCTCAGTATGAAATAAGCGGCAAAAATCACATTTGCAAAACGTTTTCCTTCAAAGGTATAATCCACCCGCCAGAGAGAAAATTTATTGGAACAAGCAGCATTTTGGCATGAAGTCGTGTGTTGCCTACCGACTTCGTTTTTACACTTGAATGATATTTTCATTTAGTTTTTATTCATGTATTTATTTTAGAACTGAAATTTAGCGTTTAATCTTACTTTTTGTTATAATAATAAAATAGACACGATGATCCGCTAACTCTAGTCTAAGCCATTCCTATTTTTCTTTCGGGATCATTTGCGGTCAACTTTGGGGATCACTTGCGGTCGAGGATCATTTGCGGTCCATTTTGGGAATCATTTGCGGTCTCGGGATCATTTGCGGTTGGGGATCACTTGCGGTACTGTACAATACTCAATGTATACGCTGAGTGTCCGGAACCCGATACCTCTCCATACTGCCGTTTTTCTCAAGAACAAGGGTTCGTATCGACTAATATCGGGACCATGACACAACTCATTTCACACAGTGTGAGTTCACACC